TGTTGCGATTGACTCTAGACTAAAGAAGAGACTAAGAAACGGAAATATTAAGTCACACTTCACATATAAGCATTATATGACTCAATTCACATAATTGTCCATCATTCATAATGCTATTTTTAGTAAAGATTTTGCTAAATGTTTCAACCCAAGTCAAGTTTCATGAAGTGCCATGAAGCGTATAAATTAAACTTAAAGACTGCAACGAGGAAACAAAAAACAGCTCTAAACATACGTGGATGTTTGCCTATATCTAAGGTATATGTGCAGATACGCCAACTGTTCACTGGATTCAAAATGACCTAAAAAAGCGGAGGCATGCGAATCATGATAAACAAACAGTTGGGAAGAAATCAAAACATCAAGGAACATTGTTAACCAACGTCCGGTATTGTGCAGCACGTTGCAGAGCCAGGGCACATTACTTGCACGACTGTTTGAGTTTAGCGATCATGAAAAAGTATTTGCTTCACATAAATGTCAAAGTAACGGTTTTCATCCACTCCTGCTCATGGATAGATCGTGACAACGGATGGGGGTAATGGTACGATTGGATGAGGCACAAGGTACCTATCATGTAGAAATCGTTTAATCGATGACATTTCTTGCGGCTCTGGACTTGCGTTAGAAAAGATAAATTTCGAAAGCTCGTACGTTGAAGAAGGCTAGGGAGAGATCAGCCGAAACTGACACTGGTCAATCGCCTGATTCACCGTATTATTTTCTCCATTCCATATACGTAAACATTTTATGCTCGTTCTCTCAAAATGCGAAAGTAATTTAGGGGCTTGCACTCAGCGAATTATAGTAATGAAAGTTGGCAATTCGTTCCTTCTCCGTCAACTGTGCTGAACAGAACCTCAAAAACAGATTAACGCAATTTATATAAAGGAAGGTTGAATGATACGAAGGTATAAATTTTTATTTTAAAATCCTTGTTCAAATAGATGCGAAGATTCATGCAGGAATCTAGTTTTCTACGATATTCAACTGTGTGTCGTACCTATGACATCATTTTCCCCGTACATTCCGATGATCCTCCGCTGTACACCATGCAGCGTTCAGTTAGTCTGGTTGTCTATGCATTTCTCCAGCTGCTTTAAAGCCGTTTTACTTTAATGCTGGTTGTAGTTCAGATGCTTCACGTTTATCCGTAACGTGCATTCGACGCCATGTCAGAATAGAATATTGTTCAAAACGACAGAATTTTTGCATTTTCACTAGTTCGATATGCAGTCAATTATCAGGTGGGTGAGGGCAAAGTGCAACGAGGAAACCCTCCCATCGAGCAACGAAATTGCTTTTCTGGGGTCCATACACCACAATGGCATGAGATAAATTCTTTTTTAGATGGAATCAGTTGTTGAAATTTTTTCGAGTCATCGAAGGCTGCACGTCTGCCGTGGTATAAAGACGTCTTCACACTGATCTTCTGATAAGCAAAGTGACACTACATCGTCAATACGGAAATTTTGGCAAGAGGAGGTAAATAAGACTGCAAACAATCAGAGATTTAAATAAAGATGCCTTCATTATTCTATGGTTGTGATCGCTGACTCATCAGCGACACAAGCGGCCGCCCTGCGAGGCATTAAGTGATAATTAGAGAGTGTTAAGTAGGGCAAATTTCGTAGGGCTCCTGAAATGGATGGGTCAATGCGCATACGAGCTACAGATATTTAACCTTACTCGCAGCAAGGAACAAGCAGGCTTCGATGGTTGCTGCTACATGCGAATTCCTGCACCTTCATGTGAGAAAGTTTCCCCATTTCAGCTTAACTGATATTTACAAATTGATCGACAGTGAACGAGATATAGGTTACCTTTAACGACGTAACAGAATAATCATCTACTACAGTGTGTCCAAATCTCTGTTGAGAATTGCAAGAACCGAAACGTTGTTCCTACTAGCATTTCTCTATGAAATGTGACTTAGTTTCCCCATGTTCACGAAACTTGCTCTGCGCACGCAACTGTAAAAGAACTTACGACATAAAAATTATTCTTGCCATATAACCAGAATAATGCCATTAATTCCCAGCTGTTCATCGATAAACCTAGTTTTTATTATACCACGTGGTGATCGAGACACCAAATGCTTTCCTGCCATATTAATCGAAACTTGCAAGGGACAATCAACGCTGTTCACCTGATTGGTGAATGTCAAAACAAGCCTTCATTGTATTCAGGTCAAATAAGTGGCCCTCCGGAGTCACCCGAAATTACCTCATATCCGGAGTAATTATTACACAATTCATTTTGGCAAATTAATTTGCAATGCATGGCCAAAATCTTGTTCCGATATGATGAACAGGCAATTACAGTATCGATCTTTGAAATTGAGCGAGCTAGTGGTGGAAATAACGTGCAGGTTGTCATATGGAAAACGTCGAAGTCAAGCACTTTGATCGAGGATGTCAACATAACCATATTTTGACGTGAATGATGGTGCAAAGTCTATCCTGACAATGAAACTACATCATAATTAAGCCACTTCCGGGCATAAATCAGCTGTTGTAACAGCGCAACCGTACGTGTAATATAGCACTTTCAGAACTTGCTCCGCATTTACGGTAGACACAATCGCAGAATCTCAGGTTATCATCTCACTCGTGTGTGTAGTAGAAGAGGGCAAGGTCATAAGCTGCTTAAGGAAATTTGCGTGAATCATGTATTTAAAGCTGACACGTTGCTGTCAGTGCCCCAAATCGAAAACTTTCTGTAAATTCACTCATCCCATCGCACTTATATTAAAGATGTTAAACACAGACTCACAAGAACATTTTCCCTGAAAGGATTCTGATAAATGGAGAACGACTATTCATTAAGCTCTGAGAACTATTAGAAAATTATGCGCAGTGTGTTGTAATACAATGGGATGTTTACTTAAACGAATTGTTTCTTTTGCCCGCGAATACTAACGGAAAGTAGCGGCGTTCTACTAGTTGAACATTCTCCATTTTTTAGTTTTGGAATTTTCCCACGTCAGACACTTCGACGGTTGTGACCGTCATTTGTGAATCTGCTTGACGTAGCGACTGGCAATCTTAACCGTAAAAAACAACTGCCTGTTCATTTACCAATGTTGCACGAGTGTTCAAAATGGCAGGCGGCATGATGAGAGAATTTATCCGAATTTTGTTGATGTCGCTCTTAAAAATCACTTTGTTCACTTACCTCTGCAAAGTCCATGGAAACATGTGACTATGATTATTTGATACAGTAATATTTTAAACGCCGATTGTTAAGCGCCCTGTGGTCTCTGGAAAAGACTTTGATGGCACATCTAATGGTGATGACAAGTTTCTTCGAGCGCAGTGGCATTTTGAATATGAGCAGTCATAAGGATACTGATTTAGTTCTTTTCATTCCCTAATATGTGAAAAAAAATTGAAAATTCAAAAAATGAAATATAACATGAATTTCCATATGGTATAGAGTTAGAGAAGAGGAAATATGATTGATATGAAAGGTGACACTGCTTGAACA